TCGAAATCGATTTTCCGCAACATTACATAACTTTCCCTATACTACGTATATAATCCCGTATATAATACATACTATACGGGAAAGTAAAACTCAAAGCTGTCATTCAACTGCTTTGAATACCCTTTTATACGGATCCCAAAGGATCGCAGGTGATCTGTGTGCCTGCTATTGCTAGTACAACACACACGGTCTGCAACTAATGGAATCCTGAGTATCACATTGATAATAATTGTAGGTAAGGTGTGAACGTTGACGTGGACACTCTTTTCTTAAGTGTTCTCTTCTCACGCTAATCAGGAAAGATAATTTATATTAGAGTAGTGGTCTGCATCGTTACATTTAATATTTTTCCCATGCGTGTTTTAGTCAGTCGAACTGGAAATAAGCAGGATTTCCCACCCATGTAAAATCCCAGGAGTTATTCACTTGCTTACCGGTTAAGTCGTTTAATTCCTGGAAGACTCCCATTTTCATTAACGTCTGCATTAGCACTTAGTGATGTAACAACGTGGTATTCGAAGGAGTGTGACGTATGGCTGGCTGTACATTAATACTTGATTTGCGAACTAGATTTGAGAGGTCATACTGTTGACTTAAATTTTACGGAAGGATTGGTGTATTGCATTCATGAGGACCATCGGTGATCAATAGGATTACTTCCTCGTACTTAATTGGTTTCTGCAATGAAAATCAGTATTTTGTGGGCGCTGTTGAGGAATGTATGAGTTATATAAATGTTTACAATCATACCTCTTAGCATGAACATTGCGTCCTAAACGATAAAGACACCAACAGGCTCAAACACCATTTTCTCAAAACTAGCTCCAAACTTTTTCTTAAAATTTTTCGTACAAATAGTGCTAATTGCACTCTTTAATATGACTTAAAGTTTGTTTCGAGGTATTTTTATTTTTAAAAAATTCACAAATGTAATTTTTTGAATGATCTCTCACGCCGTTAATATACACATTTCCAGCAATTTGTAAGCACTGTAGTATTTGTGAATTAAAGTGATTCAAATAAAGCTTTTCGAAAACTCAAAAAAAAGATTCTAAAATATTTTTAAAACGTTTTCTTTGAAAAAGCTTCAAAATTTGAATTTACAGTAGCTCTTAAGTGCCATTTTCTTAAAAATGGCTGTAAATTTTTCAAAGAAAATTGCAATTTAGGACAAGGTTTTACTGTACTTTAATGTTCATAAAAATAATATTTTCATTATATTACTAGAAAATAGAAAAATTAAGAAAATTTCAAGAAAATGTACTTTGGGTGGCGATAAATGGCAGCTGGCAAGACTATGAGGCCAGTTCATATAGACCAAAGGAAATAAGACCAAAGGAAATAGAAAACTAATACGGAAAAGTCTGTGCCATTCTGTAGCACCACTAGTTTCTTTTATAGCCTACCACTAGATACGGAAATAAATTAATAAAAATAGAACAATTTTAAAAGTGGCCATTTTTAGGAAAAGGATCTATTCAGAAAGGAATTCTTCCAATAAACGCCCTCTGAGTTTTACACACTAATGCATTTAGTTCTATAGCTTAAGAAGTTAAAGAAAACTACCAAAATGTATTTAACTATGTTAAACTATTATTATTAATTTATTTTATTGTTTGTTGCAAATTGGCCATCTACGGACCACGCAAACACAGTTATACCCACCGAGGCCCAACCATATTATTCTCGGGGTTATGCTCGTTGACTTTATTGGTCACCTCACACATTTTATTGGCGTCAACAACGTTTCGACGCGCCACATTTGGCGTCTTCATCAAGTTTTTAAATACTTACAAAAACTCTTAATTAGAAGAAAAAAGCACGCGTTAAAATTATTTAAGAAAACATCGGGTGAAAAAGTTAATAGTTAGAAATAACTATCCTTGAGTAAAACTGTTTTATCTACTTTTTTGATTGTCTTTTTTTTATTTTACTGTGATGTTTCAAAGATATTTTCGTCTTTAAACAACAACAGAGGTTGGAATCGAACCGGCGACCTTCGAGGTTCCCACCTCGCATTGTGACACGCGAGGCCGGCTACTTGGGAGCAAGCCAGAGCGGAAATCCCGTCACTCAACATGCAAAGCGGATAGGAGCCTCCCAACAAGTACTAGTATGAGGAACCCTCCCGTTTGAAACCTTCTTTTGCTTCTTAACGGTTCGCAGGATTTGTTTTCGAAATAGGTATTCTACTATTAATCTGTTTCAACGCGAGGCCTTGTCAATGAAAAAGGATATTATGAAACAATGGTGTAATGATGAGTTATACACGAGTAAAATTCAGTCAATGCTCCATCCAACAACTACTACCACAAGACGAGCAGGGTCGACATCAAGATAGGATTCATCAAAATGTACTCTCTTAAACAATCCTTATCTGATTTTCTTCAGGAATTGGGAAACAGATGAAGACATATGCTGTTCATTGTCACCTTCCGTCAAATCGTCTGGGCACAGTATTTACAGAATCGAACGAAGAATAATATTTTAGAAGATCAAAACGTCGCAAGACATTAATGTGCCCTGACCAGAAGCGCACAAAGCTTCAGCGATCTCCTCTAAATCAACATGAAGTAATGAGGAATGCCAAATAGTGCTTAAATGTTTCATTTAGTATTTTATATTTTATGTGAAGGTTTCTTACAATCAACGAAAAACAGGTGAATTTTGGATGATCAGTTATGATAATTAATATCGTAACACCTTATAACAGACATTATTTGTAGCGTTATTACGTTTCGAAAGCATGTATGCTACCATTTTCAAGTACATTGCACACTTTCCTTTTCCAAACCAATTGTGTAATTAGAGATGCGTGAAAACTATTTGTAAGACATTAAAGAAGTAAGATGCAAAGGCGTGAAGCGAATGGCGGAGTAAAAGTAACTGCATTTCGCCTAGGATGATTATGACAGTGCATGGTTCAAAATTTGCTATATAAGGCATTTAAGATAAGAAAAATCAATGAAATTGACTACTATGTTTTTGGAACAGTGGGTCTAAATGAGTTAATAGAACAAGAAACAATTATTAAGGTTAAATGCTTGGTTTTCAAACTTCCCTATGATTGGTGGTAAGCATTACTATAATGAAGCTGTACCGTTGTTATTATTAAAGTAAAAGTATAGAGAAACTGTATAATTCGTTGTTATTACTAACATAATTATTATTAATAATAATAGTAATAATAATAATAATAATATAAAATTATACAATGGAAATTCTATAAACATATTTTAATTTTGGGGCACTTTATTTTTATCTCTAACTGTATTTTTAAATTTTTCTATAACTGCTCAAATTGTGTCATTCCTGTTTAATTAAAGAAAATTGTCTTTTAATATTATTAATTGTAGCAGTTTCTGCTAATGCTCTTTCTATTATTTTTAAACAAATATATTAAAAATATAATTTTCATTCAAACCTCCGAATTGCCAAAGTTAACTTTTTCAAATTTGTTAGCTACTCGTACAGTGTGTTGGGATTTGGGTAGTGGGTAATGGACAATCACAGAAATGTGAAAAAAACTGATTCGCTTTCAAAATAAATGATACTGCTCAAATATATTCATTTTAATGAATTAAACAAGTCTGCTTAATTTGGTGTGGTTTCATTATTATGTTACGAGGTTATGTTTCGCGTTTAAAAATAAATGAAATTTGTTTTTTTCACATCTGAAGTTTACCCTGTATTCTACGCAACTTCAATGTTATAAAATTCCTTTCCACGTCCATTTTTGCTTTCAAGGACACTTAAAACCTAGATGACCTTCAGTAATTCAGATTCCGCTTGCTGAGCTGAGGAAATCATCATACATTACAAGATTTGTGAATAAGCTCAGGAATATTTCTTCATTCAATAGAAATGACATAGATGAATTCGTCTTCTTAATGTGAGATTTTACCATTCGAAAAAAATCGTCATTCTTGTTTATAAACTCAGGGTTGCGAAACAGGTGAGTAAATATCGAAAGAATGTGGATTACTGCCAAACATGTTGTGGAAGATCCTGGAAGCTAGTGACATTTAAGTTTGTAAAAGTCATTTCACATCAATTATAACTTCAACAACGTTTCTAGATGAGTTGGAATTGGAGATACCGTTTTTGTTCTTAAATGTTCCTTAATTGTCAGTACGATTTTCGCATAGTTCATGGTTTCATGGCAACAAGGTTAATCGGCACTCTAGAGTTGGCAGAATGTTTATTCTGTGAAGATGCGCGGCCTTGGTAGTCGTGTCCTGTTCTCAGTTTGAAAAGATACGCTGACTGCTCGGGGAAGGTCTTGGTTAGTACAACTAGTTCTGCCAGATTGTCAGTTTCTGAATGATTTCCAATTGAGGTGATCCGTTCAATTACTCCAAGCGTGTATTTTTTTTTAAAATTTTTGTCACTTTGACAATTTTGAAGACATATCTAGAAATTAAGAAAAGAATGTTACATAGAAATCAGTTAACTAGGCAATTCATTTGTAACCACACAATGTTACTAGTCAATGGTGACAAAACTTCTCAATGTCACAAAAATAAAACCAGCACATTTCTTTCATAACGCTATGTGAACTCGTTTCCTTGAGTATACCTAATACTTCTCAGAGTGAAAGCAGTTTGTCTTGATCTTGAGAGGTATGACATGCAATGAGTAGGAACCGCTATTTCTTCTTAAGATGTTTCGAAGAGAAATTTATTTTGTCGCGGTAAAGTAACTCCCGCATTAATTCATAAGATCTTAAACGATCTTTATTCATAAGAACTTAAATCTGATTTTGACATTGAATTCGTTTACTCTTTTTCTCGTCTTTACTAATAAGGAAGTGTAAACTCCCGAAAATACTACTCGTGTTTTTGATGTCGAAGGTACAAAGTCACAGAAATTGCTTTTTCGCTCCTCTTTTGTATCGCACGTTGATGAGTATGATTAAAAACAGGTATAGGAAACGTAATAATCAACAAGATTGGCAATGTGCATTTTTTTCGTAAATTTAATACGTTTCGAGAATCGGCATGAAGGGTAAGTCTATACTTTGAGACATAGGAGCGTAACAAAATGTACAACGCCTAATCTTTGATTGAACTTCGTGTCACAGACGGAAACGTTCCTACCTTTTGAATTTGTTCTGGGAATATTAAAAGGAAAACTGCAACTTCATACGGTCTTCAGAAGTCGAGAAATTGTCCAGTCAAATTCGTCGAAATGAGACCCAACTTTCGGAAAAATTTCTATTCAGCTGAACTTTTATAATAAAAGTATTTATTATTAATTTTTGAATGATGGAAAGTAAATCACCTCGCATAACCTCGAGTTGAATAAGATGGATTAAGAAACATCAATTCTGGAGAAAATTATCTGAACGATTTGACCGTTAGTATTGACCACAGACAAACAGACGGATATAAGGACAGATAGACAGACAGACGTTTTGCCGTTCATCTTTTCCCTCTCTCTCTTTTTTATTTTTGTTTATTTTAAGAACCTACAAAACAAGGATTCTAACTTCACAACGGCAACGACTTAGAGGAAGAAATTTACTACCTCTAGGAACAAGTTTTAATTTCTTTTTCGTTACCAGAGCCCGGCAAAAAGAGTTGTTCTGCTCCAAAAATCTCCTATTTCTGCCACACGATTACAATGCTTTCCTTTTACAACTTATGTAGTAAGGCGAGATAGTAAAATCACTCTGGTGTGAATTAACATCCAGTACTGTTGACTTGTGATATTATATTCATAATTAAGAATTCCACAAAATTATTGTTTTTATATGAAAATTTCGCATTACGATTTGGCGTGTTTTATACAATAAACATTTTTTAAAATATAGCAACATTTCTTATCTCTCACTGAATACCGATCTGTTGAACATTTTCATCATTTTTATGAGCGCTTCCTTTCAAACACAGGGTCACCGATTGGCCCTCGTGGTATTACCCTGTGAGGTGTTTCCTCGTCGAGCAACCTCGAGGTTGGGCAAACCATGACGCTGACGTACCTGCCCGCAGGCATCGGGTCGCTTCAATTACAGGGCAATTAGCACGCTATTTGAGGGAAGTGTCCGTTAGTTCGAGCTCCCGCCACGAGATATTCCTCCCAGACGCCACATCGCTCGACGCGACCGATGTGGACAAAAAGTCAACTTATTATACCCAACAGCAAACATGGCGGCCTCCTACGAGATTTCTTGTAAGGTTAAGTTCAGTTGGCCGGCTTTTTCGGTTAGGAAGTGTGCGTTTCAGAACTGATTTATGTGTACAATTTTACTATAAATATAATTAATGGATAATTAAAAGGTATTCTTAATAAGCAGAAATTGTTGTCATTTTTCAGGAGATGTCCTTCAAGGCCCTGACGATCTTTGCTTGGGGTGTATCTGCGAAGCGACTACTAATTGCAATCTGACTTTTGGATGCAGCCGTGGACTTTGTGGCCCGTTCTTAATTTCGCAACCATACTGGAAAGACGCCGGTGAACCAACACTTCAAGGAGATAGTCCGCAACGTGAAGGAGGTATGTCAGAATAGGTGCAGATTGCCATGTAGTTTCCAAAATAAACAATGAATTTACTTCATCTCGTATTAAAATTCGTGTTACAGCATACCTTCGGTGTGTACGAGACCCTTATTGTGCTGCAGCAACTGTTCGTCAATATATGAATAAGTTTGCTCAGGTAAGATAGACGGAAATACAGGTGTAATATTAACTAACCTAACTCCCTAAATTCCTAACTCCCTTCACTTCACGTTTTAAAAAAAATTTCATCGTGCCAAATTTTTGTATAAAATTTCCTTTTGTAAGTATTGTTTTCGTATCTTTAAAAAAAATTTCACAAATTTCATTGAAATTATTCCCATTAAAACAAAACTTTTACTCCCAAATTCAATCATACCATTTACATTAGTATTTATTAATTTATCATAATTGTTGTGTATGTGCAGTATTGTTTTTAACATCATAAACCATTAGTAGTCTTTGAAAAATATGCACAGTAGGGGAAGGATGTGTATCTTTGACCACTTTTCATACTTTATTTTTTACCCCCATCAGTTTTATATTTATTAACTTGTTGAAGGTTTTAAAATAATCTCTTAAATGTTATCTAAAAAATATCCTATTCTCATGTTTGAAATTAATTTTAAAAATAAATTAATTTTTGAAAGAAAAAAAAAATTGGTGAAATGTACACTAGTCCCTGTATGTTGTACCTCCACCACCTATGACCACTTCACACAAATTATTATAATCAGTTAACTGGAACTTATCTTATTAATTAAACTATTTTTTAATAATGTAATATGCATTTATAATGCAAACCAGCAATAACGATTACAGGTGCGAAACTTAAACTTTTAACGAAACTTTTAAAAAATGACTAAATAGAACAAAGTCTATAAAATACAAATTGTGTAAATCTGAAGCAAACTTTAAAATAATTAAATTCTTTAAGTTATAGTTTAGACAAATTATGATGCCATCACATATAAAAAAACAAATAAACCTATTGAGTAATAGAGAAGAAAAACTTAGTTATTCAACACTGTAGTGAGATAGATTGACACTAAATAACAAATGGTGTGACAAACTGATCTGCCTGCCTGTGATGGATTTGGAAGCTTGAACACAATATCATCTTGTCTTTTATTGTGACAAACTTCTCGCTCATGATATTTAACTTTTTTTAAATATTTTCCCTCTTAACTCTAAAAAACTCTGCAACATAATATTTAACAGTTGTTTTGCCACACAGTTTTGTGAGTATGAAATCAGCTTTGCATCTGGGCAACTTCTCAAACTCTCAAAAATAATCAATAAATAACTTGAAGTGAAGAAACTGCAAGATCAGTTGTACCTTTTACTGTTCAAAGGTACAACATATACTCACTTTTCACAGAATCAAGTATGTTGAATTTGATGTTAATTTATTTGCAAATAATAAACTACATATTTTATCTAGAATGTCTGTCTTACGTTTTGGTAGGTTACAACACTAATTAAGCTTTTCAAATAATGACAAGACTTACAGCAGCTCTGGTTTCAGGAGTCTAAACTGGCAATACCAACTTTAATTTATTAATATTATGCACTCTGGCAAGAAATGGTTAAAGGTACAACACCTTTCCCCATACAGTGGAAAAACTTTTTTTAACATTGCTTTAAAACACATCTTTATTCATAAAAATTATGTCACCTTACAGTCTCTTTGTCACGAAATGAAACACACTTTCTGGAGAAAAATAGATTGTCATACAATTTTTGAAAGGGTAATTGCTTTATTTCATCGGTAAGGTAAACTTTGAGAGATAAAAAATCTTTAGTTTGGGGAAATACAAGTGATCCTGGAAAGTTTGATGGTACAGCAGAATGATCATGTCTACAAAACCGATGATGTTTATTTAAACACCTCACCTATTATTCTTTTTATTCTTATAGGAAATTAATACATGTAATTATTTCTTGAAGTTTCATTTTTAAAGTTATAAAAAGATTGATATAGAATATCAGAAAAGTATTTGCAACTACGTTAAATTAAAGTAAATTTTAAAATAAAAACTACTGTGGTTTATACTATAAATACTTAATAATCATGATCAGTAAATTAATTTAAAAGTACACTGATGATTTAACATTGGAATAAAGAAAGAGATCTCTGATACCTAACAAATGATATTAAATGTTCATACTGTTGCTTGACTGCTTAAGTCTTGTCAACACATTCAGGCATTACTTTTCGTACTTTATAATAATAAAGAATTGTCCAAAATTAAGTAATGTACATATGAATATTGGGTTCATACTTTTTCATCTCCCAAAAGTACCTTTCATTTGTTGATGCATATAAGATTGACTTTTGGGGAGACTGGTCATACTGGGTGCAAAAATATATATTTTTTAAAATTATATTATTGAACAATTGTAAACCTCATAAAAATTGTAATATTGTCAAATTAGTTATTACTAGCATTATATTATTAGCCATTAGTAGTGAAGCAATGAATATGCTGCTCTTGAGTGTGTGGAAAATAAAGACCTAAAGCAGCATAAAGAAGCTCTTAGTTTTCCAAGAACTTATGTGTATGTTCAAAATTAGAAATATAGATTTAAAAAGTTTCCTTAAAATTCTAATATATTTTTTTATTTATGAGAAGGGTGAGGGTAGAAATTTTATTTTGCCATAGATGCTGCAAACCCAAAGGCCTGTTCTGGTTATGTATAGTAATTTTTCCTTATCCTTATTTGTAGGCAATTTTATGATAATAAATGTTTTCTTTACATTTTCAGGACTGCAATGTTAACGGACATGTTGAATGCGATGATTTTGCTCGCATTCACTACTTAGGAGGTTATCAATGTAATCTTCCCATGGAGTCATTGTTATATTATCAAGTTTTTCGTCAGTGTTTGAACAGTGTCCAGCAATTGAATGGCTAGTTTCATTTGTTGACCATATGACCATCATATTTGCTTGGAAGTTCTTATTAAGATGTCAGAAAGGTTTTTGTGCCCTTGAAAATATTGATAGATACTGTACTTGAAGTAGATTTATCTCTCACTAAAAGTGAATTTTACTACATGAGTTCATGTTCAGGGTACTTCTTCACCACATTCAAGTATTAATTCATTTTTCATATTTTGAAGACCTATTTATTGACTTGTATTTTGTACTGTGTGACTGAAATTTGCCAAGAGAATGTAATTTAATGTTCCCTAAAAAAAAAGTTGAAATAGAATATTGTATTTATTTCTATTATTATGTTTTGTCGATTTAATATTGATTGTCTGAATTCTTCTTCAAGAAACTCACTATATCTTCTAAATATAAGTGTATTAATAATTAAGATTGTCTTGAAATAATTTCTGCATCCCAAATTAATTGCTGTAGAGCAGTTTCAATATGGGAGGACTGACATCTCGCCCTATAGTAATATTTAGTGCACTTGGTACAACAATTGGAGGAGCTTGTGTGATAAAATTTGCGGCTGGTGGCCAGTTATATGATAGCAAAATTAGAGCTGACAACAAGACAATAATTATTACTGGTGCAAATTGTGGTATTGGAAAAGAAACTGCCAGAGAATTGGCACAAAGAGGTGCCAAAGTTATTATGGCATGTCGTGATTTGCAGAAATGTGAAACTGCCAGAAAAGATATTGTTCTCAAAACGAAAAATAAGTATGTGTACTGTAGACATTTAGATTTAGCATCTCAAGATTGTATTCGAAGATTTGTTGAGCAGTTCAACAAAGAGTTTGATCGACTTGATGTTCTAATAAACAATGCAGGAGTGATGCGTTGCCCACACATGAAAACAAAAGAAGGTATTGAACTTCAGCTAGGAGTAAATCACATGGGTCACTTTCTTCTAACAAATCTTCTCTTGGAAAAATTGAAGATTTCAGCTCCTAGTCGGATTGTTACTGTATCTAGCATTGCACACCAACGTGGCACAATTAACAAAACAGACTTAAACAGTGAAAAGGAGTATAAGCCAAATGTAGCATATGAGCAAAGTAAACTTGCTAATGTTCTCTTTAACCTTGAATTGTCAAAGAGGTTGAAAGACACAGGAGTCACAGCCAATTGTTTGCATCCAGGTATTGTGGATACAGAAATATTTAGGCATATGAGTTTTGCCAAAAGCAGCTTTACAGGATATATATTAAGACCACTTATTTGGCCATTTATTCGCACTCCACTTCAAGGTTCACAAACTACTTTATTTGCTGCTCTCGATGAATCATTGGAGAAAGTGACAGGGCAGTACTTAGTAGACAGCAAAATACATGAACCTTCTGAGCAGGGTAAAGATACCGAAACTGCTCAATGGTTGTGGGCTGTAAGTGAAAAATGGACTAGGTTGACAGACTAACAGAATAGAACTGAAAATTAGGTATTAATTAGACAGCCATTGTTAGAAAGGTGGTTATGTAAAGCTCTGTGATGTTCAACACACAAATGTCATTGATGTCTATTCATTAAAGGAAGGGATACAAGGGAATAAAAGAGGAGACAAACATATTTTTCTCCTCCTTTGTTTTGTATTGACTGTCAATTTATTTTTTCCTTTCTTAAAAGAATAAAGAAGTGTGCCTTTAACCTTGATAGTGTGCACTGATGTTACAAATTGACATTTTGGACTTTTAATTTTGTATTGACAGGAATGTGAAGGGATGTCACATCAATGAAGATTTATCTTGGATGAATAGTTCAATAGTTTATTTGTAGCAATTTGAATACAAAATGGTTATAAATGTAAAAAAGGATTGTAAATAAACATTGTTATATTATTGATTTTGTGATTTATGTCCAGTAAGTCTGTTTAATCATCTCAAGAAAAGAACTCCATCTTATTAATGATCTCCCTCAGAACTATATCTTATTAATGATTCAGCAAGTCAAAAAATGTTAAACAAAAAAGACAAGTAAATCAATACCTAATATAGAGAGGGAACAAACAAACAAAAAATATAATAAAAACACCATGAATGCCACAAAATTTATTTTTCAGAAAATAAAAAATACACAAACACAAAAACAACAACCTAACACTATCTCAAATACTAACTAACCATGCTAAAAACTATACTATATTACATGATTTACATTAAGCACCAACTGTATGAGATCCACATAAGTTACCTTACATCAGGTGTCGCACGAGTTATAAAAAAGTTGATTGGTATTCAACAGATTCACTGCTAGGAATTTATTTTTGCTTATCCATTCATTTTGTCTTTGTCTGTGGGTGGGTGCATGTTCGCATTATTTATATAATATATATAAATTTTTTCTGAAGTGCACCCACTAGTCCCAATTGCCAAAATATGAAGGTTTGGCCTGATTTGCTTGAAAATTTGTTTTAGAAAAAGTAGTTTCATATTTTTGATTAGCAACCTCTCGCATGCGAATTTTCAAGGGAATGAAGCCAACTATTTGTATTTTGGTCAGGTTATTAGTAGTTGGGGCCAGTGTGTATAACATCAGAAAGGCACTGGGTAGGTCTAGAGATGACTGAGCAAAACTGCTATGTCTTGCCACTGCTTTTGTCATTATTAGTTGCCAAGGAATGTTATGTATTGATCATTCCTGCCATTTTCCATCACAATACTGCTTTTAGGTAATGAACAGAGGTCTTTGGTAATTTAAGCTCGGAGGTATCATTTTAGACTGCTAAGCTAGTTTAGTTTAAGGGAATGTTACCAACAACAATCCTCAATCTTCCGAACAACAACCAAAGAGACTTTGGTTATAAAGTTTTATAGAGTTGGTTCCCATTCCAGTTACCAGAGGTGATTGTCGGAATGGTGTGAACATGGTTTCTTGCTATTTCATGATCGTCATTTAAATATTTTGAATATAAAATAGTCTACATTATTTTACTCTTAAATATTGGTGATTTTAACAATGAAAGCACAGATCTATTTCTGAATGTTTTATGTGCCGTATTTTCTTAAACACTTTTTTTTTTAAATTGACATGGTAGACTAATATGCGAGAGTCTCAAAATTTTAGTGATTTTTTAAATTGTCTTTTATTTTTCAAACAACTTGAGAGGTATTCAACATCCCCACCTGCAATTTTCTGAAGACCTGTTGACTTACAGGGAATTTTTAAACATCGTTACAATGAGCCAGCGCCGATATCCGAACTTCTTAGCCAAGCTCTGTGATGTCACGGACGTTAAGTAGTTCGTATCACCGGGTTCGCGTTTGGGTGACTATCTGGGAACCCCGAATATTATAACAATGCATTAAAGCTCATGGCCGCTAGGGATAAAAGACGACACTAACTGGACGTAAGACCTGCATAAGACTGACTGTGAATGAATGTTCAAGTAGATTTACTCCTCCAACAACACAAGGGCTTAGGAAAGCTGTTACTCAAGTAACAGAATTTAAAAAATTACTGAAGTTTTCCAAAATTGCCATCCAGACTATACCGAGCATCAAAAAGGAAAGTAATATTAATTTTAACAATGATTTTGAATGTATTAATGACCATTTGGAATGTATAATTTTAAACAACCTGTAACAAATAGCTTCTTTACCGCACCTTCTGGGTCAAAAGATTCTCCACTAATAAAAATGGCCCTCCTCCTTATGATTTATAAAACCCCCGTCACAACAGATACCAAAGATTTCCAAGCTGCGAACTCTTTAGGGGAAAGTATGACTAAGACATTTCTATCATTCAACAGTACTCTAATTTTAGACCCAACTACAATTACCTCTTAATTTTGCATCACACGCAAGTCGGTGTTGGAGAGAAAGACCGCAGTCAAGACATCTAAATAGCAGGCCCTTTATCTAGTGAGCAATCTCATAGCAAAAGAACTGCAACGCTCAGTGTTGCTACAGCAGTATCGCACAATTTAAGTGCAACAAGAATATTACGAGAAAAGGATATTGATGCGTCATGAGAAGTCCACTCAAAACATTGTAACATGACATCACATGACTCATATTACCGTTTATAAGATCATTATTAAAGTTTATTTTTTAATATGTAAAGGTAATTAATTATTAAAATTGTTTTTATTTAAACTCAAGTTTATTTCTTTCCCTTGACGATGAACAAGAAAAATTCGATCAACGGCTCGAAGCTTCAGGATATTTCTTCATCTCGTTCTACTTTTGCTCAACTGGTTCGAAGCAGTGGCGTAATTACCGCAGCCCGGCAGGTGCACTTACCTGGGGCCCCCAAAAGCAAATTATTTTTTGGTCTAACAGAAACCACTTTTAAGGTCCCTTCTGGAAGTGATTTGTTTATTACTATAAATCGACTAGTGAAAAGTTTGAATTAGTACTTATTTTATTATGAGGATACGAAGATGTTTACCAAATTTGTAATTTGACATCTCGGGACCCCTATTATTCTTTTTAAGTTGGACAGACCCCCAACTGAAGCGTCTGTGTCCTCCTAGGTGGTGCAGCAGAAATTATTCCCTTTTGGCGATTCGGATCAGACATGCTGATGTTTTGCAAGCTTTATTAAAAATAATTTAAAAAAGTAAAAGTGCATCTGAGTGAGCACGTGCATGCTACTTGAAAAGAGAATATGGAGTCATTCGGATTTCATTTCCAAGTTGCACTCAAAAATTTCGAAAATCTGCAAAAAACGTATATTGATTATCATGCATGAGATTTGATTGAAGCAGCTCGCAAGGATCTGTAAAATATTTTAGAGGTACTTTGACTAAGCCAAATGCGATGCAATAGAGTCGGCTACATCTTGAGGCATAGAAGTTGCGATTTGCGAGAAATGTGTAAAAAGAACAAGTAATTTTGATAAACTATGTGAAGATCAACGCTTATCTGACTGCGAAAAACGATTCATAGTTAATGTTTATTTCGCTTCTTTAGATGTTGTGTTTAGACAGATGTGCCATTGATTTATTGGCTTGAATCAAGTAATCGATTCGTTTGCAATTATTCAGGAACAAACTTTGTTTCGGCTTTCAGACGAAGAATTTGCAAATCAATGCGAAAAATTCAGCGACAATTACTATGACGTAACTGATGAACTGTTCACCCACCTATTATCCTTGCATAGTTCTCTGAGAGATAAAATTTCGAAGATTCATTCGATAAGAGAAATGTCTAAATTGGTCCTGATTGAATGCGTTACTTTGCGCTAACTTTCCAGGCGTTTGCTCAGTAATCTTGCTGTTTCTAACATTTCTTGTGACGGTTAAGGCCCATTAACAATGCAAACATAAACATAAACAGGACGTTAACATAAAAGTTAGAACTACATCCATAAGCGGACTCACTCACAATGCGTTCACATAAGCATAACATGTAAGACGTCAACTTAAAAGCTTGCAAGCTTCAAGCTTCTGTGCTTATGCTTAAGTAAGACATAAGAAATGAACCAATCACAGAACGGTAATTCAAAATCGAGAATCTAAATTGGAGCAAAGTCGATAGACGAACTAACGCCATATGGGTCATAGACTCAGTCGATACCTTGAAATCGATTCTCCCATCCAACCACCAGTAAACCAGAATGTTTCAGCCAATAAAAACTTATTTTGCTTACGTTTATGTTAGACATTGTGAATGCTTCAGACTATCACTTATGTTAATGTTTATGTCTATGCTTATGTTTGCGTTTGCATTGTGAACGGGCCTTTACGACTGCAGAGCGTTTTTTTCAATTTTGAAAATCATAAAAAATTAGTGCTTTGGAAATCATCGATAAATCCCAGTTAAGCTTGTTCAATTTTTTAGATACACCACCCTGATTGGGACATTTTATAAGTATTGGTTTTAATTTTACGAGTGGAATAGTCTGCGAAAACTTCGCCAGCGGTAGACACGGGGTGGATCGAGTAGCCCAGCAGCCGTCGTAGCCGGTCCCAAGCCCGGAGAAAGGAGGAAGGTGGGGCATTAGGCCAACAACCTATGGTACCATAAAAAAATAGTTGTTCAGAAATCAGAAAATTCGCCTCGGAATACATATCGGAAACGACTTGGACAACAAGCAAGGATGGAGGAAATATATTCTGGAGGTTAAAGTTCAAGTTGAACTACATAGCCATTGAAGAAGTAGAAGAAGAAGAAGAAGAAGAAGAAGAAGAAGAAGAAATTTGATGAGACAGAAGAGACTGGCGGACCTTGGCATTGTCCAGAGAGAAAAGTGATGAACTCAAATGCGAACCTGGGCGACGGTACAGATAAGTTTGTCAAAGCGAAAGTCCGCAGGGCTCGATTCTGAATTTTGTGATTATAATTAATAAATATTCTTTCAATTCGTTTTCAACACGCTGTTTCGGGGACAACATTCTTTTAAGGGGGGGGGGCACCAATTTAGTTTTTGAACCGAGGCACAGAAGGTTTAGTCACGTCACTGGTTCGAAGTCAGAATTGCCCATAGTTTCTGCAACGTTAAGGAGCACAACATTGGTATCAAATGTTTTTGGCACATTTTGTTCTTTCACAAGAGAAATGTACTTTTAAATAGGAAACCGAAGTTTCAAATGTCCGAAACTTCGTTCAATTATGTCTATCTGGTTTCAAATGTTTGTCGCAACTCATCTCAGTACCAGGAGTAGGATTTATAAATGGAAATAATAGCTGTGCTTATAGCTTTCACCATCCCTCACATGCACAACTTCCGTCGTAATGATAGAAAAAGGACACACAACCTTTACCTTAAGGATGAGATCGCTACTAAACACACTAGTATTCTTGAAGGACATAAGGATATAAAGAATACGCTCAAGAATGAGCCAAAACGCAATAACGCAAGATCATAAGTGACTTAGTGTAAGACGTGTCTAAATAATAATGCTTGTTGCAAAGTGCTGGAGTGCGATCACCATTTCGAAAACTAGTTCGTTTTTTGTTTTGTAGAATTCTATTACCGGCAATTGTCTCAGTGCAGAACTAACACAAAAACTCGAGTGCCCACTGAAAATGAAAGTCAAAATCATGTGCGCGGGAGGTGCTGACACGATCATAATACTATATTCAAACATTTCATTACTTACATAATTTTATGCAGGTAATGTTTGAATATAGACTTTCATTGAAATTGAAACAATAACGTTTCAATGCTAACGTTTTATTAGCGTTCTCAAGAGTGGAAATTACATTTCCGTTATTCGATGGAGCTGCAACCCCACAGTTTGTTGGGGCATCCCTAAAGGTCAGGCCAATCATCATTGCGTACGAAGATGCGTTGTGGAAACAAAACTCTTCGACAAATTGTGTTCTAGGCCAACAATCACCACCGAATTTTATAATTTTTCATTTTGTTCATTACACCTCCAAAATAACACGGCGTATACAGAAAGGAAACTCAACTCCGGTGTCGGAGGCAGGATGAGGGTACGTGCGGAAAACATCGGCAGCTACTTGAAAAATAAAAGAAAGCTAGACCCCTCTTGCTTCAGTGACATAACGCGGGGAGAGAAGGAACTTGTCTTTTTTCGGCACCGATTGCTACTAGGCACTGCTGAGGCGGTCTTTAGAGGTGCCTCTATTGAAGACAATAAGAGGGAAAAGGAGTAGTAGCGGGCCAGTATTGTAGAGCCACTTGTAAGATATTTCTTACACCGTGGTACTGCTAGCCAACTTGGAATCGGGCCGGGTCTGTTGTTATATCTACAAGATTGTTAGGCAGGGAATTGAGTATATTTGTATTCTCACATGAAATAGTCTTATTAATACAAACAATAATTCTGCCTTTCACCAAATTAAATAATGTAAAAAATATTCAGTGCATATGAATTATTGTAGTTTGTTGTGAACAATTAGTATTGCAGCACAAACACGGCATTTTAACAGTTTCTTGAGCACAGAACACCAAATTATCAAAAATCGCACCAAAATCAATAATTCCTTACCGCTCATTCGCCTTCCACACATGCACGAAGTCGGAATACACATTATATAAGTAATTCGACACAATCTTGACTGATATTTACACAGCGTTTGCATTTTTGTTAAAAATGTATAACAATAATATTTATTATTACTATTATTATTATTATTATTATTATTATTATTATTATTATTATTATTATTATTATTATTATTATTATGATGATTATTATTATTATTATCGTGCACCGTTAAAAATAAATATTGCTTCCCGCGGTAACGTTTTGCTTTGCTGCCATTGGGTGCTTTGAAAGGTTCCTTCGTAGTTTTGTAATTCGCCGCGTGATGCCGCTGACGCAAGAGGGGGTCCAGGTCCAAGTTGTCCTGCTGATGTTTTTGAAACATACCCCCATCGCCAAAGTTGAATTTCCTTCCTGTAAAGCCTGTTTTACACTATCGTTTTTTCATCATTTTCGCCAGTACAGAAAAGAGACAGCCCAGACTGAATGTAATTTGTACGAAAAAATGACGCATGCTTCATTTTTCAGTACAGATTTCATCCAGTTTGACTGCCGCGCTCCTGGCGTCGCTCTTTGAAACTTTCTCTGGGTTGTCATGCGTTTGGTGCGTTTGATCATTTTGAAGTTTCGAGAGCATTCTGATGTGTTGAATGGTAATGTAATGTGATTATGTAGTGAGAAATAAATCATGTACCGTATCCTAATGTCACCACGTTCCCTGCTCAGTCCAAATATAACCTAACTCAATATGTTACCATAGATGCGATGTTCAACTGTTTAATCTTCAGCGCTGTGGCGCCCAGAGGAAGTATTTTCGCCACGATTACGTACAAGGACCAGAAATGATCATGTAAAACGCTGGAATGACTTTCGGCACCGAAACATACTGGGTAGAAACAAATGTCCTTTTTTCATCCACTTTCTGTACAGAAAAATGATTAAAAAAAGATGCAAAAATGACCGTGTAAAACAGGCTTAAGACTTGTTTTCACCTCAACAAGTCACGACATTCGCGTGTTTCTCGAATGTGCTGCTAGATGTCGCATGATCGCAACTTTTTATCATGAACAGCTTGATTCCTCGCTAGACATTTGCGACAGCAGCAGAGACACCTTGCGGTAGACTTTGTAAGCATATCTGCTAGAGTGCACGGTAGGAACTCCAGCTCCCAATGCAGAGACGTGCAGGGCCAGGTATTATACGCGCATGTTTTCTTGAGCCCCGAGACACCTGCCCCACACCCCTTTACCTACATTAGTTGAATGAAGAATAAATGATAGCAACGAGCGTTATAGACAAAATCTGATAACCGAAAATTCGCTACCGTGTAATAGGAAATATTTTGTATCGAAAAACAAACTACAAATTTGATATAAAATTCCTTTCGTCAAAATAACCTTTCGTCTTCTCGCAACTAGCAAAGCGAGGGCTCAAGAAAACGTGCGCGGATAATATCGCAACTTTTCTTGAACGATGACCTTGCTTCCCCACTCTCTGGCTCAATAAACAGTTGAAGGCAAAAGCTCGCAGCGAGCACTGATGACAACATTCCAAACACCTCTTCACTGGTGTGAAATAGAAACTATTTTCTGTTGAAAACCAGAACTTCTGTCCGCGATTATTGAAAATAAAGATCTAGGGCTAGAACAATGGTCAACATTTCAGCAGTTTATGTAAACATTCTCAATTTATTCCCATTATTCATTCTCTCTCATTCTCAACATTTTCAAGAAAAGATCTAAAGAAATGACCGAAGCACGTGAAGATCTATCTCAGGAGATATCTCGAACTCCTGAGAAAGTTGGAACGCAAATTATTGAGAAAGTTGGGAAGGTTTGATTGTTTCTCCAGAGATTAGCATTGCTTCATAAAATCTAGTGGCCGATTTCATAACTAATACCCCCAATCTGCCCGCATTTCTTCAATCCATCGTTCAAGAAAAGTTGCGCGAATATACTAGGATTTATGCATGTTTCTCAGCCGTGCTGCTAGATGTCGCCCATGCACTTGAGGTACATCAGCTGTTCACGGTTTCATCCAGTTAGAAGCTTGAACGTCCCCATAGTGACGTCACTGTTAGCGATACTTGAGCTCACGATTGGATGTCTGCAACAGCTGATTTATGTCAAGTGCACACTTAAATAAATCGTAATATACGGCCTGACAGCAGACGCGCCAGGAGCCATCGTTGGGCGGATTTGGACTCCCATAGACCAATTATTATATACTCTACGTGTATTCGGTTCTCTGGGATGGAGTGGAAACGAAATTGAATGAGGAGAAAAACGATGTAGGGAAGAGCGGGAAATCTCATACATTATGAGGGGAAGCAATAGAAAACATTGAAGATTATGAAATGGTATTTCTGGCAATCCGAAGTTGCGCCTTTTATTTCCCTCAACATTCCCAAAAATTGCTGTTTAATACTTGATACAAACGTGGTCTATTGATAGTGAATGAACACAGAAAGCCAGGGAAGAACCGAGTTACTTGTACTTTGGTGTTATTCTTGATAAATTGAGAATGTTTACATAAACTGCTGAAATGTTGACCATTGTTCTCGCCCTACGATTATTTGGTCAGAAACGACAATTATATACACTTAATGCCATTTATGCAGGTTTTGTTTTCTTTCATACAATCTTTTGTCTTCTTGCTGCTAAATTCTTTTGCTTGCCAAGTTATTCTTGACTAAATTGGCCCCCCTGGTTTGTTCATTTAATATCTTTGTTCATAGGTAAAAGATTTTTCCTCTCAGAAGCTTTCCAGTGTAAAACCGTTTGGGATAAACGTTTGCTAGCACCTGCTATTAAAAATGCGAATCTTGGTGGGTTTTTTCAATTTCAAATACTCGTCTGCTGTTAATACATTTAGATTTGAATCGCACAGAGTGGGTAATCATAAACTTTTTTTTGTTTTGTTTTGTTTTAGATGAATTGTTTCTGAAACTAGATGAGGAATTTAATCATTTTGGAAGAGCAAGTGTTGTTGATATTGATGTGGTATGTAAATAATTTTTTAAGAAAAATATTTTTGATAGTAAATGCTGAAAAACTTCATTTTGTGGAGGATTTTAGTATTCTCAACTAATCAAAAGATCAACTAATCTGTGCTAACAATTATTGGGAGCTCTTTTAGGTAAAAATTTGTCCAGTTACACAAAATTGCAAAGAAAACTTGTTTGCATCATTTATGTTATCACTTATGTTTTTGTTTCTTTAATCTTGGTTCAAATTGTTTAGTTATATATTTTTCTTATTTTATATTCTTTAATTTAATATATATGTATGCCAATGAGACATAAATATCTGACTAAAATTAAATTACTTTAATAGTTTCTGAGAATGAGGAACATATGAATGAATGTTTTGAATATTTTACTTCCAAAAATATCAGAAGGAAACACTAAAAATGTTGAAGAACTTTCTTTTATTGATAGACCAAGTTGTTAAACATTTTATATATGGTGCAAAAAATTGTTATCATCACCATCATATTGATATCTAGTAAAAATTCTCCTCAGAATTATCTTTACAATTGGTAGAAATTTGTTTTTTTATTGTTTTTCGAGCATTTGTTGGAGTGTCATGTGTGATAAATGTTTTCTTTGGAAATGTCATTTTTGACCCAATTTACAACTTTACAATTGTTCCTATTGTATCTTTTGCTTTTGGATTGTGGCAAGATGACAACAACAAGCTTACAAAGTAAGGCAAGAAATACCATGCTGGCAGAAAGTTTTAAGTACACCTATCAAAAACTCATAAAGAACTACAATCCTTAAACTTTGGGCTAACCTATACACTTTACTATTTAATTAAATTTAATGTTATAAATACTAATTTTTAGTGAAAATGAGGAGTCTCTACCTTAATCCATTGCAATTTGAAACCAGGTTTATAATTTATATCATGCATGAAAAAAATTATTAGACCTAATGTTTTGCAATGTGTTTTGCAAACAGCCGCATCAGGTAAAAATAACGCTAAAACTCTTGGTCCATTACAAAGTATTTCTAAAGGACATTAAAAAACTTGTGATAATTTTTGGGGGGTTCCATTGTTTCTAAATTTAGATAAGTATTTCAAGAAGGAATATTTTGCTGAAACCCTCTCCCTATAAACGCTGTGCTTTCAGGTATGTGCACTGAGATTTTAAGGTATTGAGAAGAAGATATGTTGAATTGATGGCAGGGGCAGATGGCATAATTCAGAAGCAATGAATTGTTTTGGTATTTGAAACAGTTATCACTTTTATAAAATGATTTGAAGAGGTCTTCATGAGAAAGTTGTGAAAATGAAAAGCTGTGGTGAAAATGATTAGTAAAAGTGACCAGAGATGGCAGAGTATTGGTATATATAAGACTCATAAGACATTGAAATTTGTTGGCGCATTTCAAAAATGTGTATAGAACAGCCTGAAAATTAAATGTGTTCAAAACTTTGTGCTTCTCGCAGAGGTTACCTAAGAAATCAAGGATTGGCTAGATTTGACAGAGGAATTGGAGTAATCAGTAACACCAACAAAGCCAAAAAAAGAAGTTAGAAATTGTTCTTCAAAAGAAAGAATTGTTGTGAAAAAGTTATCCTATAGGATGAATGCTGTTTAGAGTGTATCCAGGAAGGAAAATAGTTTGGTGAAGAAACTGGGATGCCCCTAGAAAACAAAAGGCATGACAGAGGCGGTGGATATTAACATGATTGCATGTTTAATTCTTTGAATTCACAGAGGCGTCCTTACCGTATATTCCCAGAGCAACATCCAGTATGGAAAAACTTTTAGTGTCAGAAGTCAGGGGCATCGACTTGCCCTCTTGTACACAAGTGTTCAGGTTGCAACTGGATTCTGCGCCCATACTGAACCCAGCCCCAATGCTTCGTGGATTGTTTTATCGTGTGTGTGTGTAGGTTCATTACCAATAAACAAGTATTGGAATACTGAAACAAAATGATTAAACATTTATTTTTAAGAGAAGTGGGAGATATGAGTATTTTTTTAAATTGTTTTAAAATGATAGTAAATATTTCTAAAAAGGCATTTGCATCAAAATAAGCAAGAATAATTTTTGTCAGCATGTTTCATTTTTCATGCTTTTATACTAAAAGCATGTTCATTAGAAAAAAATAGACACTTTCCAAAATATCTGATGTCTAGAAATAAAAGAAACCATTCTTTTAATAAAAAAAAAAGGAGAAGATTCTTTCCGTTAAGCAGCCACCCTTCTGATCTCTTTTTTCATACAACCAATTTAATACAAGTTTCATTGAATATTATGTTGACACTGAATATTCATTGAATACTTTATTAACAATTTACTAGTGCATGTTGTAAATTATGATGTACAAATTTTATAAAATATCTTGAGGGGAAAAAAACAAAACAAAAAAACCCACCACCAACAACAACAACAACAAGAGCATGCCCAAGTGTATCCCTCGACCCATGCGTTTTCAGGTGCTCTATCAATATATGTGACAAGTCACCTGAAAAGTGCCAATGGAATCACCACAATACCAGCCACAATCAAGTAGAACTCCAAGGTCAAAGTGTGCTCAATAGATGTCTAAAGAATTAATACATTGATAATGGTTTTGTGATTTGTTAATATTCCTGGCCAGGATAAGATAATAATTGTGCGCTTTCCGGACAAATGTCTCAGTATCTATTGCTGCATGACGATGAAAAAACCCACCCTAAGGTTATGAAGACCAGAGTATATGGTGAAGGGATGTCTTTGTGCTAACTACATGAACCCCTTATTCCATGAGAGGCTAGGTCACTGCTAGTCAGGCTAGGCCCATACCGAGCTGTCAGGCCATAGGACAAGTTGGTAAATAGTGAGAAATAATGTTCTTAATGAGTTTCTTCTTCTTCTTCTTCTTCTTCTTCTTCTTCTTCTTCTTCTTCTTCTTCTTCTTCTTCTTCTTCTTCTTCTTCTTCTTCTTATTATTATTATTATTATTATTATTATTATTATTATCTTGATTGGCCACGTTGGACCACTTGAGTCGTTCCACTTCACTAGTTCATGGTCGACTGTCGAAGGAGTTTTGTCACCTTGAGGTGAGGATAAATCCTCAAGTTACAATTCTGAATATTATTCAGAAAGGTGATAATGAGAGATGGAGGATGATGTTATGAATAGGGGTGAAAGGACGAACACAACACAACCATGCCTGAGGCGAGACTCGAACCCGCGATCCTTCGGTCCGAGATCGCTACGGCACTACTGCCTTAACGATCTTGGCCACCGGATCGGCATTGTTTCTTATAATGTTTAAAGAATTTATCAAAATATGTGGTATAATTGTTTATTTCCTGTGATTATGTCTTATAATCAAATTCATATGATTGTAATCAAAGTAATGTTATGTAAGTGAAAAATAAAAACTTTTAATTTCCATTGGTATTTGTAAAGGTTTTGCTAGCATGAGAGCTCTGAGAGATCCACAATTAATTTCAAAAAGTATTTTAACTGAATTTCACAAACACAACAATAGATATAATCATAATTAACACTTTAAAATTTATATGTAATTTCAAAAGCACAAGTGGTATTTGAGCATAAAATAAATAAATAGTTATAAATTCTAACATCAAAATTATGACAATAAATATTAGAATAATCACAATATTTGGAACCTGAACGATTCATTCCAAGTTATAAATTTGGGATTGTAAAACATCTCTCTGGTTGAAACTGGTGGCATTCTTGAATCTCATTGTTATGTAATGAATTTCCAATGTTGGTAAATTTGAGTAAAATGGTCACCAATTGGAAGAACACTGTTGTCACCCTTTTAAGAAGCCCTGCACGTGAGCTTTGCATTAAGTAATGTGCTCCGTAGAATAACACTGTATCTTATGCAGAACGGCACGTGAGTGCTTTGGCCTTTCCACGTTAGATACAGAGTGTTTATCTATGATGCATGTCAATGCAACACTTGTGTGACAGAGGCCTAAAACAGCAGAATGGTGAATATTATTGTCATCCCTTTCATTCATATTAAAAAACATGCTTTTCATAATTATTATTGCTCATTGGCTTTTTTGCTTTCATGTTTACAGTTTGCTAATGCTGTAAGAAATGTATCATATACCAGTGAATTAGAAGACGTAATTTATAAATTACAGCTGAGTGTCAATTCTCTAAAACCCCTTCCATCTACACATCATGCTGTTATAAGATATTTTCTGGAGACTGAACAGTATGAAGTTCTTCTCAAAATTCTAAGTGACAGACTTGTTTATGGTGTATTTCCAGACAATTTCTGTTTGTGTTTAATTCTGGACACATTTATTAAGAAGAAGCGAATTGCAGGTAATTGCAATCAAGTGCTAATGCTGTAAGAAATGTAGCATCTACCAGAGCATTAGAAGACTTAATTTATAAATTGCAACTGAGTGTCTGATGTGTTGTTGTGTATTAAACAGTGAATCATTTATTGTGCTTTCTTGGTAGGATTATATCCACAGCATTATAGGATGAGCTGATAGTTTTACTTTGAATGATTCTATTTTCAAGAAATTTCTGTAAATTTGTTTACATTTCCAGAGGACAATTTTTTTTGTTTTTCATTGAATTAATTTGTGATTTGATGTTTGAACAAAGATTATGATCAAATTTTAAATAAGAATGTAGATAATAAATAAGAATAAGAAATAAGAAAAATAATTTTGATTTTTACTGATTCATTATTGCTTGTCTTCTACAAGCATCTCTGTATACACTTCGTAACTTAACTGAATCGAGAGAATTATTCTGTATAATTCAGAGGACTGAATATGCTCTTTGACAAGAATTGTTGTCAGTCTCTGGATCAATGACCTCCATTTTGTTCAGGTTTATTTTTCTGTTTCCTGTGTTTCATTGAGCAAATGCTACTTGCTTCAAATGATACTTGTGGGCAATAAATGAAGCTTTTTTCCCCTCATGTGTCATATACCAATTTTTACCATTTTTTGGTAAAAAAGTATTTTTGCAAGAATCCACTCAAAACATGACTGAGTCTTGTGAAGTTTAATGGTATTATCTTGAAATGCTATCAGGTCTAATTGTACAAACTGGTGTGACTATAATATCGTGAAAGTAATGAAATTAAATTGTTATGCCATTTTTCTATATTGGAATGGAGTCATATGGGGAATTTGTTAATGTTGTGTAATAAATAAAACGAGGAAGCAAATTTTAGCTTAAAGGTCTAAAAATATCCATGATTTGAAATAAGAACCAAAAATTTTTGGTAAATACAAATTTGGAAAGAGTTTACAAAAGGATTGTAATGAAAGCTTGGCTAATCACTGATTTTATTGGGAAAAAATTGAATTCTAAGCCCACAAATCTCGTACTATGTTTGGTGGACTTCTTTGGGTTCCAGAGGGCCTTACAAGAAGATACTAGGAAGAATATAAAAGCTAAACAATTGGTTTACAAACAGCTACCCACCAAAATATTAGCTGACAGTCCATTTTCAGTTGAATCTCATAGATATACAAGATATCTCTGCAATCAAAGAAAATAACAAAAAGAAGTTTAGAAAATATAGTATACCAATTTGAAAATAGACATTTATGAACTAAAATAAGTAAAACTGTACATCATCAAGAATTCAATCAGTGAAGGATGGGTGTTTCTAATATTAAAAAAATTGGTATAAGTTAAAATCAAGAGTTACAAGGTCAGGTCAGCCCTTTTAACTTTGTGGGAATCCTTGCTCTTGGCCAAAATTAGGACTGTTAGTCCACAAATTTCAATTAATATTAATAATATTTATTGAGTCACATATACAATTACAATCGGGTATGTCGAGTCAATATGATGACTCGGCTGGAGAGAGTGAAGTTACATTACTGTTCAGGAGCAAACAAGGGGCCATCTCAGCATTTGCTTAAGGGACGAGGGAAACTGAACAAAACCTGATTGAGATGGGGTCATTGGCCTAGAAATTATACTACAATACTTGTTACATTCTTTTTGCATTCATTTTTCCTTATTGTTTAATTTTAAATCCTTGCAAGTAAATGTTTTCTTGTATGTAGATGCTGCAAGAGTGAGCTGTATACATATGCAGCAAGAAGATTGGAGCAATCCTCTAGTGACCTCACATGCATTATTTGCATGTCATATGTATGTTCAAAATCCTGTTCCATGGGAGGTTGAAGCAAAAAATTCTGACAGAGAGGTTAGTTCTTGCCTGAGATAATTAAAATAAAAAATGGAAGTAAAATATATATTTATAACCTATATTTCAATAATGGGCTTCAAAAATGTTGAAAATTGTTAAAGGTGGTTTCTTGGAAAACATGTTCCTTTCTTGTACCATGAAATTGGAAGAAAAAAACAATTGAAAAAATTTATATCATATCGTGGTGCGTTTTAATAGTCTGTATGTGAGTGAACTACCCTTGATTAGTCTTAGTTCATGGTAAATTAATTAGTATAATCTGCACATGCAAGCTTTTAACTTGCCTAGATTCATTATCTCCAATACCATTTTCATTGTTACTATCACAAATTAATTGCTGGATATTTTAACATATCTTGCTGCAGTCTGGCTGAAGTTATTTAAATAAATAAGCCTTCCTTAGGAAGGATATTTTGTGATCCATACTCTGTTTTTGGTTGAGGAGTAGGATTTGGATATGCAATTTATACTTGTAGGGGTGTGTGAATGAAAAGTGTTATGTCAAAATTATTCTTCGCAACATTCCATCCTTTTGTTTCTTCTGAAGCACAATTTTTTTATTAATCCATTGCCAATAGTTTTTGAAATACATTGTCTTTGTAAACTTCTTGAGCAGTGATGCTTGTGTTGACCTCTGTGAAAAGGCTACTTCAGGGAAATAATATTGGCAACAAGCAAACCTTGAGTGATTTTCTCATCTTTCTATTGATATTCTACTTCTACTATTAGAAATATTTTGAATTTAAACTCTCTACCAAAATCTAAAATATTAAATATTAAAAGTATGTTAATTGTTAATAGTTTTAAATTAATTTACAATTATATTGTAATGAAATATTTGTATTTTGTTAATTTTGTGTTATTGCAGAGTGCAATCATGCCTCCCCCAACCTCTTTGAAACCGCCTGATACAAAATATATTTTATTTGTTTGTTTTTCTATTTTTTCTCTTTTTGTCTTACTTGCAGTAAATTTTTAGAAATTGAGTTATACATTATATAAAAATAAATTATTGAATGGTCTTTGATTGTTTAGGGCAAAGCACTAGTGGAATATATCCGATACCCATATTTTGATAACAGTTCTGAAGTCCAAGACCCTCATCTTTTGATTGGTAAAACTCTGGTTGATATTGGAGCCTCAATGTCTGATGGTGTTGGGCAAACATATCGGTTGGTTGGGCTTGGCCTTTGTAGAAAGTGGGAGGAAGCAGTATCATTCTTGGAAGAGCTGTTCATTGCTTCTGGCAAGTTCAGACTATTTAGAGGAGGAGTAAGTACTTTCAATACCATTCATGGCTAGTTTCACAGTTGACATTGTTAATGTAAGAGTTGCATTTATTAAAATATATATATTTTTTTAGGTGCAGGTATTTAAAGAAACTTTTGCAAAAGAATTGAATGACAAAAATGATCCTGACTCAAAACTCCGGGAAAGATTAAGAAGACTAGTGAATAAATTAGATAATCAAAGACTTGTTACAAATTATGACCTCCATACTGCAATTATTTCTCTAGTCGAGCAGGCTGTAGCAAGAGATGAAAATAATATTATTAAAGTCCAGGAGGCCCTGTATAAGGAATGGGAAATGACAAGAGAACAACTAATGAAGGAAGATATGGAAACTTCAAAGAAACCAGAAAATCTTTCTGTAATTCAGCAAGGAGAAGCACAGTTAATTCAAGAGGAAATTGACCTTTTCTTTTTTGGTAATAGCAAAAATAATGAGTTGTTTTTAGAAAAGCAAGAAGTCAGCAAACAGAAAGAGAAAACTCAACAATAAAAAGAAGTAAGAACAAAGTAAATATTTTTCACCAGATGTAAAGAATGTATTAGGGCTGCGAAGTCTGAACATATTTATTTAAACATATATAAAATATTTATAAATATTTTTACACTCTTAATTGTTCCAATAACTAGAAGTAAAGTTTATACTGCAACAAAAGTGTGTTTTGTGTAGAAAAGTATTGTATGTTTCTGATCATTGCATTCGACAACTGCTAGCTAGATATATTTTTAAGGTACTATTGTCATTATTTCTAACTAAATATCATTAAGAACATTTAAAAAATGTTGCAAAAAGTTTTAAGCCTTTCTACTGGAGAACGATGCATGTTTGTGTCTATATATATGACTTGGTGTAAATAATAAATATAATTAAGTTATAGTTGCATTTTTAATGTAATTTACTTTTATTTAACTTACTACTAACCTATTAAACTTCTAAAATTATTAATATAAACTCTTTTACAATGTGATGTTAATTGCTTTGAGTAGGAATTCTCAGCATTTCCACCTCTCATCCTCATTTGCTCCTGTCAAAATATATTTTAATAAATGCAACTCCCTCTTACATTAACAATACAATGAAATCTGCTCAAATGACGTCGATTAAGCGAGTACTTCCACTAATAGCCCTTTTTTACGAGGAACTGACTGAATTTTCCATAAAATATGTGTAAATATTCACCCTTTTTTTAGGCCAAGCATGTTTTGTAATTGGCCTTTATTAAGCGGTCGCCCCCGGTGATTTTGAACTGCATCATAACAAGAATCGGAAAAGGGGTGAGTTTTTTGGATTTAATAACTTCCTATGACGGGATGCATTGTCAGATTATTCAAATAAGGACATCTTTTAGAGGGGATACCTTCTGTTTCAGGTTACAATAGTAAATCTCTCTTAAATGGTTCGCGTTCACTTCTCCCATTTCACAGCATTTCTATGGTTTGCTAACTCGTGCTTCCCTTTGTGAGAAACGGTTACGGACTCGCGCAGCACGCCCCGTGGGCGAATCCGATCTGAAGTTGTTTGCGTCAGTTTCTATAACAATTGCATCTTTAAGTTTAATTTAAAACGTCATTCAATAATGCAGCCTATGACTAGGAGAGGAGTTCTTCCTGGTAACTCCCATCTCTTGTCGGGTATTTGAAGTAGAACACCGCACGCCTGCTAGGCGTACACACGCGTATGAGTCTTGTCCATCTCAATGGCCAGGTCGAAGGCAAAGGCATCATGTAGTCTCACCTATACAGTGGGCTGGCGGAAACCCAGATGAAAGGGCAAATCGAGCCGGTAGGTCTCACCACCTATTTTCCAATCTTAATGCGACGAACTTTGCTATTACTATTATTTTACAAAGAATTTTGATGTTCCGTATTGAATGAGGGTTGCCTAGGGAAATTATCTGATCTTAATTTTTTCCCCTGCGAAAACCTGATGGATTTGAATCAAGTGCGCTTGCATGAGTCGACCTTGAACCTCCATGCGCATGCGTAATGCGTAATTTTTTTGCCGCCTGTCAATTGTGTTTGTTGTTGGCAAGCAGCTTTTGAGAGTTATAAATCTGTAATGGTTCTCTATTCGGTTTTCCATTGCACGGCGAAGCAAAATCAACTTCGTGTTGACGTCCACAGGGACGTCACGTTGGATTCCACAAACCCTGACCCCCGACTTCGTGAACGCCATAATCACTGGTGACGAGTCCTGGGTGTGCGGGTACGACCCGGAAACCAAATTCCAGTCATCACAGTGGAAGCATTCCACGTCACCAAGATCAATGAAGGCCCGCCATGGGCTGAGCCCCGCTATGTCCTCCGTCGCTTACGTGATGCTATGCGGTGCAAGAGACCGGCGCTGTGGTCAACAGGAAATTGATGCCTCAATGCCCCAGCAAATTCCTCGCTCTTGATTAAGACTTTGTTTGGCAAAAAACCAGACTCCTGTGGTTCAACAGGCTCCTAACTCTCCTGGAATCCCCCTCTGCGACTTCTGGATGTTCCCCAAACTGAAGAGGCCATTGAAAGGATCGCGATTTCAGACAAGAGAGGACAGTATATCTGCAACGACTGCCGAGCTAAACTCCATTCCGAAAGAGCATTTCTCCGAATGTTTTCAATTATGATAGCACCGCTGGGAGAAGTGTGTAGAGTCCCAAGGAGACTACCTAGAGGATGATTGGTTTTTTAACGCTCCAGGTATACCCCGGTCAAAGGACGGATACTTTTCTAACAGACCTCGTGTATTTTCCTCGTGTCTTTCGTCACAATTGTATTCGCATGATGGCAAGAGTCAGCTCTTCTTTGCTGTTTAGAGCTTATTTACTAATTTTTTTAAAAAATCAAAAAAATGAACGAAAACTTTTAAAAATATTTTGGACAATTTAGAAATCAGTTTACAAGAACAGATTGCTGTTATTCAGAAAAGACGTCCGAACAGAACTTACGCGGCACCAGCAATGGACGGAAACTGAAGCTTTTCACGAAGTGAATGTGAGATATAGCGACCTGTTAACTGGGGGCGAAAAAAGATGAATTCTTTTAGTTTTTCATTGCGTTCTATTTTCATATTGAGGGATTTACGATAATATATTTGGTTTAAATGACATTAAAAATTTGGGTCGCAGACGCAAACGTCACGCCTTCTTGATTGTTCGTTTTCTTTGTGAGGCCAGTAGCCCAATTTGCTTTCGTGAGGAGAATGTAACGAGAGTAGCTTCCTGTCTCTTTAGATTGGTTCATGGAAAAGAGCCAATGAGGAGCTAGGAAAGGTTCTCAGGGGAAACAGCAGAGGACACGCGGCAGTCTCGTAACGTCCAGGCTAGTCTTTGTGTTCTTATTTACCACATATTCCACCTTCCAGAAAACAATTTATTGAAAAATATTTGATTCAAACGTTTTTGAAGTTGCCTCAATTTTTTTTTCTTTTGGGAGAATTTTCTTGCTGCCTCTCTTGACAGCATGGTAATACTGAAGTGGACGTAGTCCGTACAGAAAAATGACGCACGCTTTATTTTCTGTAGTGTTAAAAACAATTTGGTCTTAAATTTATTTTCGTTATTATTGTTTTTATTTCAATTAAACACATCCAAAAGATTAAAAGCCACTTACGGCCAAGATTTTACAGCCCGTTAAGGACAATTGAACTAAATGAATTGTGACTGTAGATGGAGGAGGAGTAGCACCCCGATTTCAGGATTGTTTTACTATTCCTTAGAATGTCCTTCGAAAAGTGTTGAACGAGATGCGGTGGATATCACAAATAACTGACTTGGTTGTTATTTGCTCCATAATGATGTTCTCTGAGTAGATGTAGAATGTTCATTGTGGCGATCCGTCCTTCCGTAACTCACGGTGGTCTAGTGCGAAGGCACGACGACGGTCTCTGATGTCACGATGCGTTGCCGACAAAAATATAAGTTAATTATTTTTATTTATTTAATTAAGAAGAGAAACGAGTCTTCAGTTTTGCCGAGTATGAATTGTTGATTTTATGTATTGATTGATATAATATATCAATTTTTTATTTGATACGTCGAACCTTTATTACTTCCCACAAACGAAGAGTTCGTATGAAGACGCGGATCGATATATCAGGTAACATTAGTTTCTTGCATTTACACACAAATCAAACTTCATAAAATCGTAAACTCATCCAGGCAATCAAACCGCGCCCGCACGCGCTGCTTGCCCGAATTGGGAAGCCCGGAGCTCCTACAAGCACGGGCAGCTTCCGCTCACTTCGCTAGCTTTTCCCCCCAAATCCAGAAAAGGATGTAGTCGCGCAAGTTGAAGCGGCGCGCTGAGGGGAATAGAGGCTTCATAAGAAGATATGTTTTCCAGATTTGTTATATCAAACAACCGGAAATTCTATTATGGTTGTATTCTTTACTATTTATTACTGTTTAATGTTTATTTTCTTTTTAAATCGTTCATTTTATAAACATTTTTGCCAAGGGGTAGGAATGTGTTTGAGTGACTATTTCTTTACGTGTTTTTGGTTTGTTTTGTGTTTTAAGTCATTTAATTATTTTTTGTATTTAGCATTAATGTGAAATAAATTAACTAGTCTACAAGGACACAATTTCCGCTTACGAATGGACACCGCTTTTACCGCGAATATTCTTTGATTGTATTCCGATTAACCCTCCAAACTGAACGTTTAGATTTAGATTTATTCAGTCAAAAAACAGTAAAAAAAATCTGTATGTGACGTAGGGGGGAGAAGATTATCTATGCACATTTTCTTGAGTTCCAAAATCCCTTCCCGTTGTTTTAACTATAAATAGTTGAAAGATGAGTAAAAGTTTAACATAATAAATTATTTAAATAAAAATAAATTTTAAAAATGACAAGATTAGCAATATTTGAAAAATAGTCATTTTCGTTTCCGAGTTATAGAAATCTTATTTGCATCGGTACTTGCGAGTATGATTTTTCTGCGTTCCACATTTTTCTGCACAAGCCCTTACCTCTACTCCTACCATTACAAGCAAAAGAGTTCAACAAAACATAAGCCTAGTGAAGCTACATTTACGTTAATGCTGCTTTTATATCACTCATAAGGGGAACCGAAACTTCCAAACTATATGCACTAAATTATTTTTTACTGTAGTTTCTTGGCTGTATATAAAATGTATCATAGGATTTAAATAAATGTAGATATGAATTAGAGAACCAAGATTTCTAAATTGTTGTAGAATGAAGATTTTTTAAATGTAGAATATTTACAACCACATTTTTATTATTTTAATGCACATTTTTTTAAAATAACAATATATGATAAAAAGGCTACGATAAAAGTTGTATGTTGACTTGGTGAAGACTGTCTAGAAGTTTGGATTCAGTAGCTCTAATAGTTTTGGAAATAATGTTCCTTATATACCAAAAAACAAAACTTACGGGAATCAGGCTTCAAAGTTTGCTAAGGATTTCCAGTACACTCCAAGTTCATATGATGGATTTTCAGAATCATTCAAAATTTACATTTTAATTTCTTTTTATCGGATGTGTGTCTGGTTTATTTCTCCGTTTACTCTCCTAGTTTCCGTATTTCTCCCATTATGAAGTAGAAAATAAAGATAATTTCACATAGGCAATGAGGTCGACGCGCAGGAAATTATTTAATTTTAAAAAATTCTTTCAACAACGTTGAGATGAAATATGTGCACGGGCTAAAAGGGGAAGAGGAAATATTGAAGATTAATAATTCACTAAAAAGTGATATAGATATTTTTCATATTTTTGCCTTCCGGGTTCTCTTAAGTAAACACGATTACAAAATCAAAATGCTTTCGATTCAACATCTTTACTTTTACTCTCAATTGAGTTGGAAATCTCTCAAACGTATTTCATTTTAATGGATAATTTGTTTGCTTTAAAGAGAAAATGGGAATTAATATAGCAAAATTTGCGAAAATAACTGTCAAGTAACTTCTTCCAAAGACTGCAATGGCGCAGATATATAGTGACGTACCGCTACT